AACTACTACTTTCTTAGTAGAGAGAGAGAGAGAGAGAGGCTTTTAAGGCATTCATCATGGTTTGGTAGGGGACTCGGACTCCGAGATTATGACATCGAAGTTACTGACTATCCACTCTGCAACTTCACTTTTCTTGCTAATATAAATCTCAGTTCCCAAGTCAAGAGACGTCCATATCCGCTTGGCTAGAGGAGTTCCCGGTTCCTTCACATAACAAAAGAAAACAAAGTAAACCGAGGTAAATTACTTGACCAAGTATACAAGGCCAACCCCCACCCCCCAAAAAAATAAAATAAATAAAATATATAACGAGATGAATTACTTAACTAACTATACAAGGCCAACCCCCCACCCCCCAAAAAGAAATATATATATATATATACACATATGAGAAAAAAATATGGGTGTGGTTTATATAAAGTTGCAACTAATACATCACCATATTTTAGTTGGATGGCGTAGGTTTGACACATCTTTTAAAAAATTATCAAAAAGTAGCTTGGCACATCTTTTAAGCTAGTATCAAATACACATGGTCTAAATAAAATAGATGTATAGATTAATGCAACCTTACTTCTACCAGCAAGGTTGTAACCTTATATATATTTTTTTCAATAAAATATTTGACAATAGAGGTAAAATAAAATTAAGAGAAACATTAAAAAGTTGAAATAAGCTTAAAAGGGTATAATAATAATAATAATAATAATAATAATAATAACAATAACAATAACAATAACAATAACAATAACAATAACAATAACAATAACAATAACAATAACAATAACAATAACAATAACAATAACAATAATCATAACAATAACAATAACAATAACAAGGGAAATTATCGCAAATATACCTTAATTTAATTTATGTTCAATTGAAAAAAAACAAAAAAACCCAAACTTTTGTTTATCTCGTCTACTCCCTTTTTCCTTATTTTTTATTTTTTTCACCAAAATGACCTTTACGATAGTCGTATTATCGTAATAGTAATAGTTAGTACATGTTATACCGTAATAGTAGTAGTTAGTGCAGGTTATACGGTAATAGTTAGTGCAGGTTATACGGTACGCTAAGTACCGTAATACTTAGATAATTTTATACGGTATTTTAAGTATCGTAATACTGAGAGCATTTTAACTTACACTGACCCTTATATAGCGTTTTAAGTAACTACCGTAATACTTCGATAATTTTATAAGGTATTTTAAGTATCGTAATACTGATGGCATTTTAACTTACATTGACCCTGCATCGTTTTAAGTACCATAAACACTAACTTACACTGACCCTACGTTGTTTTTAAGTACCTTAACACTAACCATGTTATACGGCAAACCCTTTTTATATTTATCTATTTTCTGTTGATCTAAACCCTTTTTATATTTATCCAAGCACCGTAAACAGACACCATATTATACGATAAACCTTTTTTATATTTATCTATTTTCTGTTGATCTAAACCTTTTTTATATTTATCTATTTATCTATTTTCTGTTAATCGCTCTGTTTATATTTATCTATTTCATCTCTAATTCATTTTATGTTTATCTATTTTTTCTCTCTATTTGCATTTATCTATTTCATCTCTAATTCATTTTATTATGTTTATCTCTGTTTATAGTTATCTATTTCATCTCTAATTCCTTTTATGTTTATCTATTCTTTCTCTCTATTTTTAATTATTTATTTCATCTCTAATTCTTGGGTGATAAAGTCGCCGGAAGACATGGCAATAAGGGTATCATTTCCAAAATTTTGCCTAGACAAGATATGCCTTATTTGCAAGATGGAACACTAGTTGATATGGTCTTCAACCCGTTAGGAGTACCTTCACGAATGAATGTGGGACAGATCTTTGAATGCTCGCTGGTTATCTCTGTTTATATTTATCTATTTCATCTCTAATTCATTTTATTATGTTTATATATGTTTATATTTATCTATTTCATCTCTAATTCCTTTTATTATGTTTATATATGTTTATATTTATCTATTTCATCTCTAATTCCTTTTATTATGTTTCTCTCTGTTTATATTTATCTATTTCATCTCTAATTCCTTTTATTATGTTTCTCTCTATTTATATTTATCTCTTTCATCGCTAATTCCTTTTATGTTTATCTATTCTTTATGTTTATCTATTATTTCTATTTATTTATTATTTCTCTTTGTTTATCTGTATTTATCTATTTCATCTCTAATTCATTTTATTATATTTATCTATTTATCTCTAATTCATTTTATTATGTTTATCTATTTTTTTTCTTTGTTTATATTTATCTATTTCATCTCTAATTCCTCTTATTATATTTATCTCTTCTTTCTCTCTGTTTATTATCTATTTGATCTTTATCTATTCTTTCTCTCTGTTTATATTTAT